AACCAGCCATTACAAGGTCATCAATCAACATCAGATCATTTTCTGGACAAGAATGCTATTGTTGTCGGTATCCTTAAATTTAACTGATTATTTTTCCACTTTATATCAGAATTATAAAAAGCGCACTGACAGAATAGATCGTACCGGTGTTGTCCTACACTGGGTAGGGCTTTTAGAGTATTTCTGTCCTAAACAAGGTTAGGATTTCAAACCCTCGGCGACACCCTGCACCCATGTACCGAAACATGGGTCAAGTACCCCCCCCGGTAGATATCAATGTGTACTTTCGCGCAGGACGGAAGTTGTTAAGTTAATACTTGACTGTTGACTGAACATTATTATTTTCTTTCCTAAAGTAGACATGACAAGGTTGTCATCACGCCAGATATTAAATTTAGACAAATTCAAAATGCAATATTGTTCTTCTAAACCGATTTGTTTTCATTGTTGATCTGGTGAAAAACCCTTGTAGCTCATGACACCTGAGATTATGCAAACTTTTTTGTCTGCAATTGCGCATCAATTGTTGGGAAACCGAACAGTTTGTATGAAAACGTTTGTATAGATTAGCATCTTAGTAGCTAGCGGTTGACTTGTGGTATTTGTGGAACCTTCTAGTACCCATCTGTTTCGCCAGCTGGACAATATTTGCATTAATTGAGAATTAGGTGCAGTTGTTTTCGAGTTCAATTTCACTCATGTCTGAACTCATCTGTGACGCTGCGGTAGGAAACCGAAAACATGACGTGTCTAAACAGGATCTGGAACACCTGGAACGAAACCGAAAGTCACATGACTGGCATAAGGGTCAATTCCCAAGGAAATCGCATATTAAAGCTTGACCGCAGAGTTCTCTTTATTATTTCCGGCATTGGATGCGTTCAATATACAGCAATGGTGTCCTTGATAGCTAGGTTTTTCCTCGCTTGTGCACTGTTTTCTGCCGTATTTGGCACCAGTTTTGTATTTGCTGAGAATAATTCTTCATATAATTTTCCTCTTGGTGATCCTCGAAGCTGTCCTATCTCAAATGGAGTTTATCGATTTGAAGTTCTTCCCGGCGGCGGATGGGACAATTTGAGGAATAAACATATGGGTGTTGTTTCATTGCTGAATTACTCCAAGTGTA